ATGATCCAACAATCACTATTTATCCTTATGTTCAGTGTACAAATTAAAATATTAGTGAAAATTTTTTAAAACAATATTTAAAGGAAATCAGAAAAAATCAAAAGATTTTTATTCTGAGTATATACATTTATGACATTTAAATATTTTCGACAGTAGTTGAAGTTTAGAATATATATTTATCAGAAGGGGTTTTGTGGATATTATAGCAATTTCAATAGTTGAGATCATGAGTCGATTGAAGCAAGACCACCATGGAAAACCTGGAAGCACTGGATGGTCGTGTCGTTCTATTCATCCTTCATTAATTATCGCGTATCTGTAAGATTTACGCTTGAACAATTCACTTTTACTACAGCCTTATGTCTTCTGAACCATGGTAAGATCTTTTCAGCTGTTCATTTCAATATTATAGTGGATTACTGAATAACTGTCCTGAGAACTTTCTTAAGCGTATAGAGCTCCCTACTATGAGTTCTGTAAGCAAGTTGTCCAGAAGATAACATGACTGAGTAACAGTAGTATGTAATTTTAAATATACAAACAAAAATAGATTAACATTTTCACCAAACAACGGTTAATCCATTTTCTAACATGGTTAACAGTTAATTACAAATGATATGCCCCCAAATACCCTGGTACGGCCGAGAGTGGGGAGAGTCCGCTCTCCCTCTCGAAATGCTCTCACATGACCACGTGCATACAGCCACTAACAGGGAATCCCTACTCACTGTGTGTTTGTGGCGGGGGTATTGTTTACGAAATTGAGAGGACAAAAAGCGAATTTCCACTACTTTCACCGGGCTGGTGGACACAGAGAGTTCACCTAGGAGAGTTGGGAAACACTGATTCCAAACCAATGGTCCACATAGGCTCCAGGATCCTGAGGGAACAATTAGCGTATGGACCGATCGTTGGTCACAGGCTGCCATGGGACTGTATCTCCTTACGATGTTCCACTACCTTGTTGATCAGACCTTTAGGTCGAAGGCTCCGGGTGTGGCCCCCTAAGAAAACCACCTGCTTCGGTTTGGGCACTCGGGCCTAGCCCTCACACGAATCGAATGAGATTTGTGTGGCGCATATGTATCTGGCGCCCCTTTGTACCAATATCTATGTGTTCAAATAAATAAATTGCGAATGGCACTGAATTATATCTATGGTATACCATTAAAGTTGGAAATACAGGTTGTTGGTTTAAAATCTGATCTTAATCTCATGTGTCATTGTCATACATATTCCTTAGGTATTATAAAACAAAAATATTTAGTTATCTGACCATCAACTCATGATAATGAAAAGACTCTTGAAACTAAATGAATATTCATTCAAATTATTTAATTGGGTGATTAAGATTGGGAAAACCGAAGAATGTGAGTTGTATGCAAATGAACTTAATGTCTTGTTTGACCTTTTATAATTTTTTGGGAGAATATTTATATTGATTGTTTTAACATATTACTTTTAAGAAAACCTTCGTGGGTTGACCTCAGTTCACCTTTAACTAATCAATTGAATTCTTTTTTAGAAAATTTCTGTAAAAGGAATAAATTCCGTTTGAAATTTGGTTAATTATTATGGGCCATATTTTATCGATTTCAGTCATATCATATAATGTGCAATTTTAATGAACTTATGTTAATGTATTTGAATTATTTATGGTCTATACAAAGAGAAAATGTTAGACAGTTCAATCACGAAAAGGAAATGATCTTTTTTCCTTAGAAAATGTCTCACTCTTATCATTTTATGTTGTCAGTTTATTTCAAGTCAAATAACTGTTGAAAAATTGAATATTGACAATTTAGTTGTTAGGGTTTTTTTTGACGGGCTTCAGTTACATGCAAGAGGGGATCCGACCAAGAATTCCCAAGTTTTCTTATCAATCATACAATGGTTATTACAGATACAGAAACGAAAGTAGTATCCATTAACTAGGATTTTGGTAACTATCATATTGACGACGGGAAATCAGTGATTTAAAAATAAAGAGCTTGCCAAAAGACCAACCTGGAAGGTTCATGAATGTGTACTGTCAAAAATTCCTGGCATAGAACGAAACACATGTTCGATTCTCTATTGTGTTTAATAATGAGCTAGCTAAAGTCAATCTATGATATCAAATATCTTCGGCTCGATATTTATTTATCAGGAAACTTCCATGATTTTTTTTGTTCTAATGAAAGGAGTCATTTTTAACCTTAAAAAACTCGACAGTCAGGCAACACAGTTATGGTAAGTGATGGTCATTATCACGATACAATATGGCTACAAACAGGACAATTTTTACTAGTCATAAATTATAATTGGTTATGGTACGATGTCATTTGGTTAGCTTACTTGAAATTAAATTATCAATGTACAGGATAATATATAAATCCAGAGTCAGAGTTAACGATATCAAAGGAAAGGGATATTAGTTACTAGGTTGAATTTTTCACACATAACCAATGTAAGTAAAACAGAATTCAGATGCACAGTGAAACAGGATCATTAATATCATACAAGGGACAATGAAAAGAAATCAAACAAAAAATTTTTCGAATGAGAGTTAAGAATAAAAAAAACACTGTATATCTAATCCTTCTTGAGCTTATAAAAAAGTAGTGTGATGCAACAGTCAGAATTTCGCTATGTTTTACTAAGGAGACACTTTATTCACATTACTATCATACAAATAGTTCCCTTTATCATTTTGAAAAGAGCAAGAACAAAGATTCTAGCAGAATAGCATGAATTCATTTTTATTTCATAGGTTCTCGCCAGATGCTTACAACCTGTGATATTTAAAATTATAATTACATAATGGTTTTAAATTACTTACATGATAAGAACCTACGAAATAAAAATGAATTCATGCTATTCTGCTAGAATTTTTGTTCTTGCTCTTTTCAATACCATATCATAGTTGATTGTTATCTGAAGCTAAATACTTTTAACAATCTACCTGAAATTTGTAAAAATTTTCTTAAATTAATTGTAGCCTCATTTAAATGATAAACTTTTTTTTATTGGCTGATATCAATTAGGAAATTAATGAAGATAAAAAAAAACAGTTGATACATCAAGTTGAAAACTTATTATTATTATTATTATTATTATTATTATTATTATGAGAAAACTATGATAATTTTAGATTAGATAGCATATAGCGCTCTCCCTAATGATTTGAAGTATTTTAGTTCAATCCCATGTGTTGTCGTGGACATACAGTATATAAAAAAAGTAGTCAAATTTGTCATTGGTAACTGAGTAACAGTAAAATAAGTTGCATGACTTGTGCAACTAATAATCTAGTTTATAAATATTTTATTATCAATACAAAATCTAGCATAACTTCGCATCAGTCGAAGTTCCCGCACATCCTATCACCGTAGACAGAGAGATGAAGTTAGTAATATGACAAGTGAAGGAAATTAATTAATTTCACCTGTAATGACAAACTAAATAAGAGAAACAATTTAAAAAGAGCAAATGAGATTGAAGAAGAAAATATTGAGAACAATATTTAACTTGATATTTAGAGGATAATAAATAAATGTAACTGTTACTGCCACATACTTCACGTTCTATCACTTAAAGTTCAAAATGAACACGTGCGACAAATAAGAGTTGATATTCGTAAGAAAGAAGTTGTATGATGAACAACTTTTAAAAAGGGGTGTGGTTATGTTTATGATCAAATTCTGTTTCATATAAATTGTAATCATTTTAGTAAAAGATATTAATGCATCAGTCATCATTGTAACCGATACAAAACACAAAACACTACATTTTGTACTTATTAATGTTATTCTGTGAGAAACTATTACAGATTCAAACAGTAAATAAACCGAGGCAAACTAGAGGTTTGTAGGATTCTAGTATTTCCGATTTCACAACAATAACAACGAAATAAGATAAAACCAATAGTAAAATAAAATTAATCATACAAGTAAAATAGCAGTGGATAAAAACTTATTAAAAATTCAGTGATTACGACAAATTTCTTGTTCTTTCAAGATTATGATTGCCTTACACAGTTCAGTTACTATAGTCTGACTTAGTCAATATGATTTGCATTACATTCAATTTACTGATGATGTGAGGTGATTAATTTCAATCTCACCTTATACATAGCTTTAAATGAATACCTATTCCATACAGTTAAATGGTAATTTAATCAAGTACATTGTTCAATATATTCAGTGCATTTATATTATAATATAATTAAAAGATTATTAATTTTCAACAACAATGCTTATTTTTAATAGATGAGATCATGAGTCAATTGAAGCTAGACCACCTTGGAAAACGTGGGAGCACTGGATGTATCGCTCAATTTCGTGGATTAGTTGAAGTCAGACATTAACACAGTTGGATCCTGACAGGCTCAGTGGTCTAAAGGTTAAGCGCTCGCAAGAGAAACTGATAGGTCCTGGGTTCGAGGCTCAGGAGGCGGGATCGTGAATGTGCACTGATGAAAAGCACTACATTGGGACGAAACGGCCATCCAGTGCCTCCAGGTATTCCATGGTGGTTTAGCTTCAATTGACTCATGATCTCAACTAGTAAAATGACTATAATATCCACAAAACCCCTTCTGATAACAATACTTATAACAAATACAGAGTATTAATTATTATTATCATTATATACTGAACAATATCTATAACAATATTTTACTAAGATTGTTGTGATAAAGTCAATGTATTGCTCAAAATCTACACTCTGATTTGTAATGGTACTACATTACAAGTTTTTTGTACAGTTTAGTTTGATTTATGTATATATATACAACTAATTGTTTCTACCAAAATTTCATGGGATATAATTCAACATCAAATTATATTTGACACATTCATCATGAATTAAGTACTTCATTAAATACTAAACACTAAACTACAGTTCTAAAGGATAATGATACCTGTACATACAATATACAAGCTCATACAGTTACACGTCGAAATAGATTTTTTTTTAATAAATAAAAAAATTCATAAGGCAAAAAATGATATACTCACTGGATAAACTGTTCACAGATTGTCCATTAATCCATATTGATATGAATGAAGTTTCAATAGATAACAATAATAATAATGGTAATAGTAATGAATAAATTAATCCAAATACACAATAATGAATTATAGATGAATATAATTTGTGTAACATTGTAAAATTGAATAAATATATTGAAAATTGAATCGTTTATACTTCGTACGCTGAATAATAATAATAATAATAATAATAATAATAATAATAATAATAATAATAGTGGTGAATGATGATGTGTGTTTGTTTGTTTGATTTGATTTTTGTTGGTAAAATAAAAAAACTGTTTGTTGTTAATTGTGTTTCTCGTTGACCAACTCAATTAAAATTAATGATGTTCAAGCGTGAATTAATTAACAGTTAAATCCATCGGAAATATTTGAATGGTGCTGAAAAATCAAAGTTAAAAAAAAACATTATTTTGTAATGAAACAAGAAACACTATGAAACTGTACAATCATTTGTACAACAATACATATTTAACATGTACGTATGGGAAAGTGATGTATCGAATATATAAAAATAATTAAAATAGCAAATGTATTAGTTGAAATTAGACATTAACACCGTGGGATCCCGGCTGGCTCAGTGGTCTAGTGGTTAAGCGCTTGCAAGAGAAACTGATAGGTCCTGGGTTCGAGCCTCGCGGGGAGGGATCGTGGATACGCATTGCCGAGGAGCCCCACATTGGGACGAAACGGCCGTCCAGTGCTTCCAGGTTTTCCGTGTTGATCTAGCTTCAACCGACTCATGATCTCAACAAAACCCTTCTCTGATTAAAATGTACTAATGATCTAATCGATTAACAGATTGTGATGGGCTAAAAGATACATCTATTGTTCAATCATTCTAATCTCAGTAGACAGAATAGTGTTTAAATCTACAAACCAATGCGTCAAATGTTCAGTACTCAAAATAACTGAGTTATAATTTCAAAAATGAACAAACAATAAAGAATAATATACAAGAATATTCATTGCTGTGTGTAACTTTTTTCAATTTAGACGCTAATACAAATATCAGTGAGGTGTTCTTTTAGGTGCCTAGAAAAATTAAAACGTTGAAATCAACAATTCGGAAAAGTTATTGGACTTTGTCAGTCACAGTTTTACAAACAAAAGCTTCATCAGGTTAAAAAAAATTTCACATGGCTCGGTAAAATACGAAATGATAGTTGTCTATTATTGTAAACATGTGACCCACTGAGGAATTATACCAGATTAAGATATCAGAAGAATTAATTTAAAATATACCCCAACATTTATTTGTTCAGTTGTTGGTTCAAATGTCCCTATATATATATGCTCCTCACATGATACTGCTGGAGATCTAGTCCATGAACGCCAGACTTAATAATAATAGAATTTGGATTTGGTATGCATAGAATCATATTCCCAACTTCGTCACTTTGGAATATTGCATGACCATCATCGTTTCTTATTGGTAATGTTTGTTTCACTCTTGATATGGTTTGAATATTAAAGGTCAATGAAGCAATATGATTCAATAACCAAATGAAGATTTGTGTACCCAGACATGAGATCCGAAGCACACAAGGAGGTATTCTTAAACAGATTAGAAGACAAACTAAAGTCTGTTTTTCAAGTTCATATGAAAGGTTTAAGCGTTAATTAAATGACTACCAGGCAATAAGAATATATATATATATATATATATATATATATATATATATATATATATATATATATATATATATATATAATAATATATATATATATATATATATATATATATATATATATATATATATATGATGACGAATGACGAACGGATGATCGACACATTTTATTGAACAGCAACTTTAATATTTTGCAAATGAGAGTAGTCCATTAAAGTATGTTTGTATAATTATGTGGATGTATGTGTGTGGATGAATGAGTGAGTGGGAAGATGTTTACAAATCCTTGTAGATATACACAATCACTCTATTTTTAACTCAAAACTGTCAATCTTTAAAAACCATAAAAGAATGTAGAAAATAAAGAAAAATGACAAAAATGTGTGTCGTATTTTATTAACTTAATGGTTACCATTTATCATTGAGTATAATTGACTAGTGACATGTACACGTCATCAAATTAATTTTTATCTAAGCCATAATGAGAGATGAAAATCACACTATAGTGATGATGATAATACGTAAATTGATTGATTTGATTTATGAATTAAAAAACATCGTCCTCATTGACAGAATTCGATCTTCAGTGAATACAAATGAGAAGTTCCAGGTCATTATAGTTTAACAAAAATATCATTAAAATATTTAAATTCTTTGGCATAATCTATTACATAGTTACATTGAGTTTGACAAGAAAAAAAGATACTGGCATTTTTCCTAATTAAATTATTGAAAATCAAGCACATCATAAATGATGAATTACTACTCTTTTGACAGTTATCTTACATTTATTGACTGGTTATAACCAGTCAAGTCGAAGACCTCTGTTTAGCAGTCATTAAAATGTTTGTGTTTTTAATCTCAGGATCTTGAAGTTCCTTCATGGGGCTTCGAAACGATAAGCATTTACTATCGAATACTTCTACTCCTATTAAATAGAAACTGTTCATTCGTACCATAATAATACAATGATAGTTGAACTATAAAAATTAATAAAAAAAACATCTATTTACTACAACCAATCGCAATAAACAATATGTGTTCTGTATTAGTACCAGAGAGTTGAAACAGATTGAGGAAATGGATATCAATACTCAAGTCCTCCCTAAACAAGCCTGATTCTGATATACAGTAAGTAGAGTGCTATGATTTGATAGGTTGTTTTTTTTCTTCATAATGGAATTAATATCTTTAGATTATTGATGAATAATTAAACGTTATTTGTTGTGAACAGTACGTAAAGCTTTAGATAAATTCTTGGTATGTCAGAGTTGATCAAACAGTTGACACGTGAATAGTAATATAATCAATCCTTAATAGCCCTAAATGACCTGGTACGGCCGAGAGTGGGGAGAGTCCGCTCTCCCTCTCGAAATGCTCTCACATGACCACGTGCATACAGCCACTAACAGGGAATCCCTACTCACTGTGTGTTTGTGGCGGGGGTATTGTTTACGAAATTGAGAGGACAAAAAGCGAATTTCCACTACTTTCACCGGGCTGGTGGACACAGAGAGTTCACCTAGGAGAGTTGGGAAACACTGATTCCAAACCAATGGTCCACATAGGCTCCAGGATCCTGAGGGAACAATTAGCGTATGGACCGATCGTTGGTCACAGGCTGCCATGGGACTGTATCTCCTTACGATGTTCCACTACCTTGTTGATCAGACCTTTAGGTCGAAGGCTCCGGGTGTGGCCCCCTAAGAAAACCACCTGCTTCGGTTTGGGCACTCGGGCCTAGCCCTCACACGAATCGAATGAGATTTGTGTGGCGCATATGTATCTGGCGCCCCTTTGTACCAATATCTATGTGTTCAAATAAATAAATAAAACAATCCTTAATAACTGTAATGATAAACTCAATATTTATGATGTTCGTTGATTTTCATTTGAATTTGGAATGAAAAATAGAATGTGAAATGATATTCAGTATGTTTTTGTCTTATTGAAAAAAATATGATGGAATAGTTCATTTGACGTGGTTTCTTTTCAACACACCATATAAATAAATAACCCATAGTGTCACATTGAATAAGAAAAAGTTAATTCAGCGAAGAAAATTTTCTTTTCGACGAAATCATTTACATAAGCTGTACATTCACCTGAGCTACAAATCTTCACCATCTCAAGCTGTACATTTCTATATATATAGTTATATATGGAAAATATGTCTGTAGAAGGATAGAAAAGATTACACCATAAATTGATTCAAGATTAAATATCAAATGAGGTTATCTTTCTTCCTTATCCCTTGATTCGTAAGTAACCTCATTTGATAATAAGAGTTTCGAATCAATTTTTGATGTAATCTATTCTATCCTTCTATAGACATATATTTCGCATATACAAATGTACAACTTAAGTAAATGATTTCATCAAAAAGAAATTTTTCTTCCCTGGATTCTTTTTCTTATTCAATAAATAATTTTAATTTAGAATTTCAGATTTAAAACAAATTGCTGAGGAGTTCCATACAAGGACAAAACGGTCGTCCAATGCTTCCAGATTTTCCATAGTGGTCTAGTTTCAATAGACTGAACTCATATCATGTAAATAATAATTCACGTAAATGTTATCGTTTAAAAAGAAATGCATAATGAAATTAATGAGTCATCAAATATTTATAACTCAATTCTATATAGAAATAAATAAGTAGTAAGGTCATCATTGTAATATATTCAGTTCATTCATTGTTCAAGTAGATAAAACTAAATCTTAAAAGAAATTCATTGAAATTCTGACCTTATATAATGATAAGGACTGATAGGACCATTCCGATGTATATAATGAATGAGTGTACATGAGTGTAAATGACCAAGGTCAACACAGTTTATTTTTTTCTAACATTAATCGTTCAGACCAATTTATTGATTTATTCTGGAAAAGAATGAAACCTTTATATGATGTACAAATGAATAATTACATGTGGGCTAAACTTGCCACTCAAAAATAAATTAGGCTAAGAGAAAAAAGATTTATAGAAGTCTAATTGTGATTCATTGCTATGTCTAACAACAAAGCAACCGGAAGTTGTAAAGAAAACATTTATGGGCATTGAAACAATAAACTATTTATATTAGCCTTGAATTATCTATATGCTTAAATCTTACAAGACCATAAAGTATGTAATTTCAATTAAATTGTATTTCTAATGCGGAATGATCAGGACTATTCGCTAGACAAATAGGTGTCACATAAATACACACACATGAACACACAATAGAATGAACAAATTCAAACACATCATTAGGAATTGGACAAATATTTGAAAATTAAATATATTGGAAAACCATTCCCACCTTTCCAGAGTTTTTTTTAGCAATATATCCTTATGATGAAGAGCCTCACATCAGTGAAACTATATAGAAGCCTTGACAAGTGAATAGAGAATTCGGTATTTCAAGCTAATGATTGGAACTATCTTACTACATGATTAAACTTACAAGGGTTTTTTTAAAAAAAGGAATGAATTCATTAG